CTAAGTTACAACTTGTTAAGGTAACTCTGAAAGCTTAGTTGTAAGTATAGTGTATTTCTTCCGACACCACGCCCAGCACGCCAACCTTTTTACAAGTAACTTAAGTTGGCAGCTTAGCAATTTGCATGTAGAGATAGATGTTTCTGAAGCACATGTGCCGCAGAAGAGATGGTCACAGCACATCAATGGTGTTGGGTTGTCATGATAGGGAAGAACACTGCATGGCAGAGGCAGTCATTGATTCACTCCTTCCAACTCCAGTGGAGTTCCTACTCCGCATTTGGACAAACTGTAAGAAGTGAACGTTGAACTACGTATCCTTCGAGAAACAAACATAGCAACTCCCAGAAGCGGTTACAAAGATTGCTAATGCGTGTTTACTTGCCTTAACATGACGATTGTTTGGCGAAAAATCAGCTCTCCTTCTACCAGGGTTGATGTAATGGCAGGGCCCCCCTCAAATATCAATCAAGACTCGACCCTTCCAGGATCTTCATCTTCCCAAGAAATCCATGGTAGGACCCACCAAACCGTCCACACCCTTGGTCAGGATCGAGCACCCGTCCACGCCCGTTCGGCGACCCTGCTACCCTTCCATCGTACGGTCCATCGTTACTTCCGACGATCGGTCGCAACGATAGGCTGATTTCTCAAAGAGATGCCCTGCATGGCTTCCACGAGAACGAGAACGATCAAGTGGTGGATGCGGCGAGCCCTTACGGAGTCGTTGACACGATGCTTGGAGAAAGGAATGATATCTGAGTTGAGCACATAGATTTATACGTATATATATATATATATCATGTCTGTGTATATATATATACACCAGCTATATATACCTAGAATCCAGACTGGACCTCTGCTTTGATAGGACAAAACCATGTCTTGGCTCCAAAACAGGGGTCAATCAGGTTCTAGGTATATATATATGATTATAATGTACATATGTGTGTCATACTGTTTACCAAACAACTCAAAAAATTGTGCATCCTCAGAGATGTAGTAGTGTTCCATGAGTCAACGGGCCGGATGATCCTTTGGGCAACCGTGTTTCTTTTTTCACGTTGCTGCCAGCTCGAGCCAGCGTCGCAAGCGGCGAGTATAGGTTTTCTTAGAATCGACTTCAAACTCAATAATTTTCAGAGTTCTTGTTCAGTGGAAAGGTCTCTGGGTGCAAGCAGAATGTCCAGTTCTGGATTCAGCATGTTTTTCTCCACATGTTTACTGATATCCTTACCCATGAATTGAAATAATTTGAGAACAATCATCACACTACAACAACATCACACCAGCGTGTTTTGGTCACCGTTTTCCGACGTTCCCAAGGACAGGGTTCATCTCTCAAAGAGATGCTGTGGACGCCAAAGTTCGCGTCGAGGGGCTGGAAAACGTGTCAGACACGATGCTTGGCAAAGAGATGTCGAGAAGCTTGCAGTGTTATACCTTACCAACTGCTTTGGTTCAATTGGGTATGGCAGTTGTCGTCATAACATACCAGCTTGCGTTGTTTTACCTGTAACAGTCGGATTTCACAAACAAGCTAACCAATTCTTAGAGATATGGATGTCGGCCTGCAACGTTCTCATCGTGGACCCATATAGGCCCTGGTAGACTCGGATAAACCCCAACCATACCTTGGGTCTGTCCGTTCTTACTTGTAACAGTCAGTAAACAATTATCACTCTTTTGGGACAAAGCCTCTACTAACCATCACCATCCACTGTTATTGTACAGGTAGACTCGGATAAACCCCAACCATACCCGTGTTTTGCCCAAAGGGAGCCTCACAGACCAGACCAAGTGGGTTTAGGTTCGTCAGATCCAGAGGTTCTCGGTTGCCTCTCCCGTGGTGATTGGGGGGAGTTTCATCATTTCAGCCCATTCTCATGGTGCATCTGGACATGGGAACCTCTTCGCCCACCTAATCTCACCCATCTCCTTTCGGATGTTTCGTTGAGAAATCACTCGGGATTTCCACTTCGTGGAGCATTGGATTTCCGCTCTCCGCAAGTGACGTAGCTTGCGGAAGTTGTACCTTTGAGTTTGGGGACGAACTCAAGAGCACTCATGTGTGGTTATATATACTTCTTTGCCTTGTCGCATCTTGTTTTTCTTGCTGCTCACGAGCCAAGCCGCCTCCCTGGGTATCCACCAAACCTTTGCAGATTGTTGTCGCTGGCTTTGGGCACTGGGGCCTCTGGTCAAACGGAGCCCATTGAGGGTTACCCAATTTAAGCTCAGTTGGTTGATTGAGGTGATTGGGCGAATGGTCTTGGGTGCGTGGGCTGGTTGATTTGTTTCTTTGAGTTGCTTCTTTAGTTTTCCAACTTTTACTATTCACCCTTTTCCTTCACAGGGTGAGCCAGGACCTTTCCCCTCGTTTTGAAGTCTTCCCGTTCGATCCTTGGATCAGCCATGTGGCAGGGAAAGCCTTCTTAGCAAAGACAACTTGCTGCGTTTTCAAGTTTTTAACACAAAAGGCCAAAATCAAGAAACGCATGGCAGTGATAGAAAGGTGCACAGGAACTCCTTGGCCATGTTTTAGAAGGTGCTTTGTCCTCCTCGGTCATGTGTCCGAAGCTGCCACGAGGAGGGAGCCACTTGAAGTCACATCTTCACCACCCAGAAAGCGACTGGGAGGCACAAGTTTGGGTGCAACAGCCGGCGCAAACAGTGAAGGGGATGGGTGCTTGGAAGGATGTTGAGTCGAGTGGGAAATGGTGAAAAGGTATGATCTCCCACTTATACCCTCATGGCCTTGATGCCAGCATGTTTGTGCCACCACACGCTGCACAAGCAAGTTGTGACCAAATTCTTGCTTCATGCAGTGAGGGTCCCAACAAAAAGGTCTCAAAGATTCTCAAAGCCTCTCAAAACCTGTGCAGCCTGGCGCCTCGCTAGGTGTGGAGGCCATGCAGAACTTCTTCCATGAGCTTTGCGATCTCACGACGAGGCCCCCGGCCCGGTCGCGCCGGGCATCCGAACGGGTCGTGGCGACCTACCTCCACCACGAGCTCCGCGTCAGCTCGGCCACGACCTTGGGACGGTGGCGACCTACCTCCTCTGCACTTTGGATCCCATCATATCCCACCATCATCTTTGCTGGGATGGACCAACTACCCACCAGTGACGTTCGCAAGCGGACTCTTGGACTGTTTGGTGCATCCGGGTGCAGGTGAACCGACAAGTCCTGCATTTGAGTGGACATGTAGACTCACGGACCTTGTCATCAGAAGAACCTCCTCAGTGAAACCCGGGTGAAACCCTACAAAACGATCATTTTGAACCCGTAACCCTACCAATACCATAGGTTAGAAGCCCTGTAAAAACCGTGTAATGCAGACTGTTGATTCATACAACCCACATATGAGGAAGTATTAATAAGTTGTTTTATTGAATATAATCAACAGTCTACATTACAGGAATATAGCTATATAGCACATGTGCACTTGATTTGGTGAAACTCATAGCTCATGCGAAGACGAGGCTCCTGCTAGCAAACCAGAAGTGCTTTCTACTTCCGCTTCCACGTGAGTCAGAGTGCTCTCTTAACTTAGTTAGGATTCAGTGTCCATCCTCATGCCCGCTTTCTGATGGGTGCCAATCTTGCCACTGCGGAACTTGCCCACCTCGAAGAATGGCATTGTCATTAGTACTCCAACCTCACAGCCGTGTGCAGATCAAACGGCTGATCAAATCCCCAACATTAGAGAATGGAAGTGGACATCTCTCATGTCCTGTGTTTTTTTTTCCCAAGCAAAAAAGAGAATCAACCCACTCAACCCATGTGGACGGTCGTCACTGGTCGGTCCCGTGGTCTCTATCAAGGAACGCCGTCTCCGGTCCTCCTCACGTGTCACGAAGCCGTGAAGCCGTGAACGCAGCGGTTTGGGCCAGGTTGGGCCTCAATCGCAGCGGTTTGCGCCACGCCTCCCTGGAGCTGCGAGCACGTCAGGGGACCCAGGTGGTACGGTGTAACAGGCACTGGCCAGCAGGTTTGGTAGAAACAGCCATGAAAGAAACAGGAAGTTGGGTACCGGTGGTTGGTGGTCCAAAATAGAGGCCATTCAGATTCCAGGTATATATATATATATTATGTGATGATCAAGGAGATGACTTGAGAAGATGTTGGTATTCTCCCTGTGAATGTTTGCTTGGATCATCGTACAATCCTCCAAACTCTCCGAGATGAAACACAGGGGCATTCTCCTCTGTTCCTTCAGCAACAAGTCACACTCGTCGTTTGAGCTGCAAGTTACACACTAACTCATGTTCAGTGGATTTGCGTAAAACTAGTTTGTCTATACTTGCCCCACCAAAAATAGCACAGTTGTTTCTTCGCCAAGCAGATGTGGTTTAGGTATCTCACTAGTTTGAGAGATCCGTGTTACACTGCGACTCACCAACATGAAAGTTGCTAATTCGTTGGAAGGGGTCATAAGGCTTTAAGGACTATCGTTCTGTCCATGACCCATGGACTGTTGCCAAGAGGTTCAGCGTATGTAGAAAGGGCTCGAATCGTTTTGACGCCTTGAGATTTAAGCGTGCAGAACAAACGGTGGAACTGAGCTTCAAGTTCCAGACATTGGACGACAACATCTACATCATCTAGATGTTCCTAATCCTACATAGGAAAAGTTTTCCAATAGTTGTCCAATAGTTGGTCCTATCTATTCACATAGTTTCACCCCCGACTTTCTGTCCGAACAGTTCCGGATCGGCGATCCGTTCAGTGCTTCACCCTCCGGAGGCTTGTTTGCGGCCTTGGGCGACGTGCTCTCCGCCGAGCCGAAGCCCTTGAAAGTGCCACGGCGTCGGAAGCCACTGCAGCCGGACGCCTGAGATGAGCTACGCAGAGCCGGATGCCGTGTAGGTCGGAGAGGAAGTGGTTGGCCGAGTTGGTCATGCTTGAGCGAATATGTGAGAACTATCAACATGCCATACTAGGGTATATAAATGTATATAATACTGTATGTGTTATGTATACCATTGTATATACTCTTATCTTCAAGGGCAAAGTTTAACTTCGTCTTTGATTCGCGGCTGTTCCACTTTCCCAAAATTTGTTTTTTACACAAGAACCATGTTTTAATGGGTCTCTATCCAAGAGCTTCTGGGCACCGGTGCACTCAAGGACAAGAAGTTCTTGTTCAGGTCCCCTAGGGGCCTGATATCTGTGGTTTTCACTATCTCCTGTGACGCTGGATGTCTTCCTCCAACAGCAGACGATGGAAATGGTAAGATGTAAAACTCTTGGAACCCTTCAAGCCATGTTTGGACCATGTAGTTGTGTTTGGTTTCGCGGCTTCATGGAGAATGCATGATGAATAAACACGCTCATGTGCTGGAACATACCCCAAACCAACACAAAGGAGATAAGTAATCTTCATCTATTTTCAGGTAGGCCGGACCTTCAAAACGTGCCAGGGGTTTGTCTTTGAGGCCAAGGCACTTGATGGTTTTTCATGGACCCAGTTGGGTTGCTGAGATCGTCTGGGTGGCCGTGGCAAAATGGCCAATTTGACCTGCTCAGACCCTTTATGCCTCGTCCCCTGCCGCCGGGCGCCTAGAACTGTGGCCATCCAAGCTTGCTGAATCTGCTCACGGGGCGGCGACGCCCCAGTGGACCACGCATGTTGGTGGATTTGCCAACTGGGATGGGAGGAGGAGAGGGTGATGAAAGATGTGGAGCTCACAGTGTTTGCTGGATTCAGCATAGAGTCCACAATGTAGTTGGGAAGTTATTTTTTGTTCATCAGTATCTTATAGTACTTCAATGTACTTTATAATTGTAGATGTTTGTTGTATTTCGATATATAATATGATATATTATATTATTGTCTGGAGATTCAACAACAATCAAACGAAGCAACAATGGACAAAAGAAATCACATGGAATGGAGATATCACAGGCACGAGACCGTGGTTGATTGTTGAACACCCCTCCGACGTTGTCATGGAGGACATCACAATCACTACGAACACACTGCAAGTTGTCCACCATAATTAGTATTGTTTGATGTTCCGAACACCGGCTATCCCGTGGCCAATCCATGCCATGCACTTCATGTCAGTTTGTGTGCAGGTTAGCCGCCTCATCTCGTGGCTCGTGAGGACCAGAGTTGGAGTACTTGGAGCTTCGAATGTTGGAGTTGCACCTTGCCAAAGCGCGCAGCGGGTGAGCAGCCAGCGCGCAGCGGGCACGGCGGACTAGCAGCGCCCGTTTTTGTGGTGTTCTGGTAGTCAGCAGTCAAAAAGAAGTGGTGTTGCGAGAAGCTGGTTTGGTAGCGTGGATTGCCCGTGGATGAAGTGACAATAGCCCGGCCAGCCTTGGGCCTTCACAAAGGAAACAGTCTTGAGGAACACCTTTCTGTCAAACAAAGAACGCCGTTATCCCGAAAGGGAAAGCAGTTCATCCAAGATCCGAAGAGGAGGCCTGCATCACATCGTGAGGAAGGCAAGTTTGTAGGTCCTGCCATCGTTCTTTTGTTGGTTTTGCAAAGGCCCGCGTGATCTCATGTGTTCTTCTGACCGATGGGAAGGTATGCTGCTGATCAGTAACATAGAGAACATGGACCTGTTTCCAAGACAAGTTGCGTCGTACGTTCACAAAGGTCCAATGTGTCTTTTAGTGCCAGTGTTAAGATGTTTCAGGCCCCTGTAGTGGCACATATGGGATATATCAATATATAGTGATCCCCCAGATAGATCAGTGGCACGGTTTCCAATGCATTTTTCGGTGGGGATCTACTAACCGTACTGACTTCTATCTATGAGAGGGGGTCGAACAAACATGCGAAAAATGGCTCTTCATCCTTGGCAGGTCCATTTGACCCTCCGTCCATTTGACTCTTCGGGGCCTTCATCGATCAGGTCACCGGTGTCCCGAGGGTCGTCCAGGGTCCCGCACTCCTCGGTGTTGGGGGCACCATCTCCAGGGTTTGAAGGGTGAAGCTCTGCAAAAGTTTGGAGTGGGTTATAATTACTACAGTGGGGTGTAGAGGGACCTACAAATAGGTCAAGAACTCTTTTCCATGGATTGTTTAGCACATCTTTAGCATGTTCTTGCCCGATTCTTGCAGCAGTGCTGTGCTTTTTCCGGCTTTGTGCATCAACCCGACCAGTCCCTCCACTTGCCATGCGATGCGATGCTTCGGCGTCTCAGCGTGCATCACTCACCTAGGCAAGGCATCGCAGATCTCATGGTGGTGGCGGAGTCTGGCTTCACCTTCCGCGGCGACGCCAAGCCGCGACTCTTTCAGAGAAATCGCCAGCGCTTCCAGGCTCCGTCCCGGGATGGCTCCGTCGGATTTGCAGAGAAGAATGGGTACCAGCTTCTTCAAAGTGACCTTTTTGGAGTCTCCAAGTGACCTGTTACAGGCCTAAGTGACCTCAAACCCAAAAATAGAAAGAGGCATGGGTGAAGAAATGGGACTGTCCGTGCCTGGCGCAACCGTGACTGTCACTGACTGTGTGTCACCTCATGGAGTCTCAGTCGTGCGGCCGGAAACATCCCCGACTCTACGCTCTCCCAGCTCAGTCTTGCCTGGACCCCACCAGTCATATGCTCCAAACAGTGAGAACAGCATGCAGAGCACCGACATGAGCAAAAGCAGCGAACTGTTCATGACGAGCTTGCAAAGCAGTTGTTCTTTTGCCGTCGATTATTCGCCCTAAAAGAATGGGTGATTTGTTGTTGCATGTGTCTTGCAGAGATACATTACACAGTTGAATATGCATGTAACACCGCGTCGTGCGTAGGTAACAGGAGGGGTGTCGTCGATGGTTGGACAGATTGTTACGGTATGTAATAGTTATCCGATTATCCTTCGGAAGATGAGATGTAGCAATCTGTGGCCTGATGTCATTGACACAAAGTCCATGTGATGAAACGCTGGCCTCTACAGCCTCTACAGATGAAACACATGGGCCTCACAGGGAGCTCACGCAACTGTTGGGCCTTCGCATCATCAGACATGGAGCCTTCGCCCATGGAGCGAGTCATCTGTCTTCAGTGGAGTCGCCCATGCGATGAAGCCTTCGTGGAGCCCAGTCAGTGGATGAACCCCGCGATCGTCATGAGACCATAGCTCAAAGACCAGTGGTGCGACTCTTTGTTCAAATGGATGTGGAAACTGTCCCACCTCAAATGACCCTTGAGAGGTTTTAAAATGACCGAACAAGGAACACATCACTTTCATGAAGGTGCTAAGGTGTGCGCACGGTGCCAGGGATGCCAATGGTTGGGGCCTTTTTCTCGTGGAGCTGCATGAGACCCAGGGAGACTCAGGACAGTCAGGGTCCACAGGACTGAGTCTGGGTTGGTAGATTAGGATGATGAATCCTTGGCGATCATCGTTAACCAGGGTTATATTGAGATCTAGTTACTAAGTAGTTTAGTGTGGGAACTTATTGGTCAGTCATAGGTACTTTACAATATACTGGAGACGCAATGGCGTACAGAGGGCAGCTGAGAACACTGAGAGCTGCAGGCGTTTGAGAACACCACGCTTTACCTGGATATGGAACGATGCTCCTGGGCTGAAAGGAACGCACCAAGCAGGGATGATAGCAAACATACTGATACCTCAAACCCACTTAGACAGAAGTTGTTTTTCATGATCAGGGTGATTTGGGGGGTTGTGTACAGGTAGGTTTGACCTATCTCCCGAGCACAACTCCAATAGGGTAGTAGCTTTGACCTCCCTAAGTCAGCTTCTCTTTCCCTACAAGTTCAGTCTGACATAGTAAAACCTGGTCTTTAACCTCCTTAAGTATTGGTTTTGTATGATCATTTCCAGTAAAATGAGGCCTTTGAGGCCTTGGGCCTAGGGTTTTATTGCTTGGCAGCTGACCGGCCGACGCTCGGCCTTTCTGTCGATCGGTTTCGTCGGTCCGGTCGTGTCTCAGGTTCCAACTACCTCAAAGCCATCAACGAGACTCGTGCTCAACATGGCCAAAAACAGGCCGCTGGACGGACGGACTAGACGCTCGGCAGGTCCGATCATAGATCTGTCGGACTAGAAGGAGCATGGAATCCGATTTGGTTAGAGAAAAAGACCCGGAGCACCTGAAAATGCTGGAGATCCACAAGCCTTCTATTTGTCCTACATTCCAAAACTCTATGTGGTGTTGTGTCCTGGGCCGCTTCTAGACGTCTTGTTCAAACAATTTGGTACCCACTGTCGTCCGGTGCATGTGCACGCATTTTGCGCATGTTGCACCGTCCAAGTTCAGGAAGATTTGCATAGACTCATTCATGGACTGGGCGGACTGGGCATGACTGCTGTTTGGGAGGCTCCAGAACCCATTCTGATCATTCTGGATCAGGGTGAACCCTGGTCACCACTCAAAGTTCACTACAGAAACAGAACAATTTGCATGGTTTGTATTGCTCGGTTCATCAGGCCAAATATATTAAATCCGTTAAATCCAGGTGAAGCGAGTATAGATTGCAGATGTGATCATCTTTCCATGTTGGGTTTCCCACCATGTTTTTTTTGTCCTAGGAATCCAGTCGTACCTTCTCAGAAGGTACGACTGGACCCTCCTGGCACCTACATAACAGTGTCTCCAATCACCTGAGAAGGCACTTGGATCCCTAGATATCCCTAGGGTTTTGTGAGGACCCACCCGTGTTACCCCTTGGAGCGGTGATCACCTCGCGGACCTCGCAGACCCAGGTGTTTTGGGCGATCGAGACCCGGCAGAGGCCGGGGGGACGGAGGCAGGACACCCGGGGCCTCTGTGCTGCAAAGGTGTTCGATGGTTGGAGAGCAATACGTATACCATCGTATACTCACCCAGTCTAGTGGTCCAAGATCGGAAGAGGGAGCCCTTCCGAAAACAGATTTATTGTTGAGCTCGTTTCGATCCATCATTGGGCTACTAGGATGCTGAGGCTGACTGGGCCATGGCTGAAGGCCAAGTCTACCATTAGTGGCTCACGCTGTTTTCGTTGGCGCTTCTCGGCTTCACTGTGTTTTTGGAGTGAACAAATCCCAGTCACAGTCGATTCCAGACAGCTTTTGGGGGGAAGCCTTTGGTCTCTCAGGATGCGAATCATGCGAATCCTAGTCCAGTCCAAGTGGTCAATCATGTCCAGAAGCAATGCCTTCAGGCGGTTTCACTTGTTTCACGCCTCAAAGACGGCGCCCCTCTTGGACGTTTGGGACCTAGATTCAAAGAGTTAAGAGGCACGTTCGCATCCTCAACCTCCACACCGGCTCTTTCCACCGCCCGGTTCCAAGAACTCCAGTCTGGTGGGCCCATCTCTGCGACTTTGCGAGCTGGTGTGCATTGTATGTACCAGCATGTATAGTTCTTTGCGCATTGGTGCTACCCAGTTGGATCCTCATCCAATGGGTTTTAGTGATGTCTAATTTCGGATGCAGCATTCATTGCCGAGATTTGCCAAGCCCATATGGCCATGGGATATAAAGCTTAACAAGAATGTAGAACCTCACTGGAGTGACCAGGAGACTTCCCCAGTTACTGAAACGACTCGGTGGCTCGTGGAGAAAGGACAGAAAAACATACAGCACCCCAACAAAGTGAAGCGATGAAGCGGATGAAGAGAGGACCAGTAAGCAACATTCTGCACATGGGCCACTTGGAGAAGACCAGTGCGCAACTGGGTAGGCTATTTTACAGCTTTCGCCATGGCCTGTGTGGCGACTTTGAATGGCTTCTTCCGAGAGGAAGTGCCTTGGCCTTGCATCGAAAAGGGACATAGATTTGGGAGAGCCCGCAACCAGCGAGTGTTAGTCTATTTGTCCTTTTCCCGAGTTCTTTGGTAGGTCTTCCTACTTTTTTTCCGTAGGTAGCCATAATAGCCTCTCTGCGACATGGCACGGCTGTAGGCTGTTTGTTTTATAAGCCTTTGATCCGGGAGATACACACGCTTTTGTTTGATCCCTCTCCACATCCATCGCTCTTCACGCATCTTGACCACGTCATGCGTCGATCTTCACCACGGGGAGCGAGCCTACCACATGGACCCTCATCGACCACATGATGCACGTCTTTTTGACGGTGTACAGTCTACAGTGTACAGCAAAAGGTGGCAACTATAGGCCAAAAAAAGGCTTCTTTCACAAGGGAGCGCTGTGACAAACAAGGTGCTGATTGTGATGATGTTTGTCGCGGACACCCAAGCAGCATCAGGAATATCAGTATACAGTATCGGCTTAAAAAAAAGGTGGTTGTTCTTGTTTGTATCAGCATCAAGAACATAGTGGTTGCAGACAATGCATTCAAATGACCTCCCAATCCCCAGGTTTTGAGAAAGTCGAGAAAGTCACCAACTTCACATACTCCTTGATAAATACAGACACTCCACAACAATATACCAGCACCCTCACTGCCAGGTCACCTCCTGCGACTTTTTGAAGTCTGCAAGAGCCATCATGTTGGAGACCTGTGGCGTCGGGTGTTGGTAGTAAGTCCAGTAGCAACTCCTTTTTGTAAGTTCTTCTTGATAATATGTACATCGCTGAGAACCACCGGACCTGCATGAGCTCTAAGGTGGAACAGGCGCCAGGGCAACCGTTCTTCGTCGACTTCGGCTTCTGGGCAGCGTTGATAGGGACTCTGAGTGTTGAAGAGTTATCACACCAGAATGATGGTGAAGAGACCCTGGGGCTCCTGGCCTATCTCCGTTTCGGTGTCGCTGGCTTGGGATTGGCATGCGGGCCGCCTTCTTGGCTGCGAGGGTCCAGCGGGTCGCTCAGGTTGCTTCACGGGCTTGAACGCCTGCCTCTCCTATTTCTGCTGGCCGCCCTGTTCGGAGCGCTGCCGGAAGACCTTCCGAACCATGAGGCCCTTGGACCGCCGAGGTTCCCCAAAAACCTTTGAGCCTAGCGACTGTGAAGAGCTCACCACCGGAGGTACACAGGCCTTGCAGGTGTATGTCATCTCACAACCAAAGCCGGTCTTTTTTGAAGTGCCATCGCACTCCTCACTCCTTCTTCGCGCCAGTAAGCAGACCTCGGTGCCGGTGACCATCCATGATGCCCGGCAGAAGGAGCAAGAGGCGCGGCATGCCACTGCCGTGTCACGTGAGCGCCACTGCCGTAGAGGGTCCAGCGGCTGTGCTGTCGTCGGGGTGGGTGCTGTGAGGTGAAGCTTCTCGAGGGATGAGACGTTCGAGGGTTTTCGAGGAGCCAAATCGAGGTTTCGAGACACAGAGAGAAGATGAAAGAGGGAAATGGAAAGAGATCGAGGACACAGGGAGAAGAGAGAACCACCGAGGACATTGAAAGGGAAGGCAAGGCAGTATACGTGGAGGTCTGCAACATATTGCAAAGTTGCCATGAACATCATGGTGTGGAACCTGGAACAGAGGCTGAGGTATATCGAATCGAGATTCACGTGCCTCTCAACCCTGGCATGTTGGTACCGTGGACCTTGGTGGTTGGTGGGTTCACGTGTTTGTTACATGTTCCATCTCTACCGTGGAATGACTCCGACATCTGTTCTTCGTCGACCGGGTCCCGGTTCGTCGTCGTTTCCATGACTGCGCTGCGCTGCTCGCGGTTCCCAAAACGGACGTCGGTTCCGTCGGTGGGGACGGTGTCACCCACTCGAAGCCAGGAAGGCTTGAGCAAGCGAGCTTTTTTCGAGCGCTGCTTTGGCCGAGATGGGATGGGAGCAGGTTCCGGTCGGGGTCACACCAGGTGCCTTGGAAGCCGAGAAGGGCTTCCAGAAGTACTGAGAATCTAATCCTTCAAAACATCTATAATAGAAACGTCTATATACTATATAGAAAAAACCACTCCTCCTAGAAGGGATTCATGAATTGACGATCTGCGGTGCCTGGCAAGGGATTTTTCTCAATGGACCATGGAGCCAAGAGGAGCGGGAATGACGCCCAGTCTATCTCATCAAGATGTTGATCTGACCAGAAGGCCTACACTCCCGAGTCAACTCACATGGACCCTGGCCCCCTGGAAGAGTGACCAATCAACTTGGCGACCTCAGGGTCCATGTGGGTTGTCTTCCAGGGAGCTGGTCGGAGACCAGTCTTGAAGTTTGCTTTGACCAGCTCGGACCATGCAGACCACCATGCTTTCGGCCGACCGTCCAGCACGGTCCGGTGAGGGTTGATGTGGATGGGGGTCGCACATGAGTGGGTTGATGTGGATGTGTTGCACAACGGTTGATGGGGCGGAGAGAAACACGTTTATTCCGTGGACTGTGTCGTAATACTTAGCTATCGAACTCATCATGGAAGTGGGAAAACCCCCGTGTTTGTAGAGAGAAATGGATAAATGGGTCATGTCTGGGCCATGCTCATCCATGTTGCACTTCCATGATCTTCCATCAATATGAGTGTAGTAGGTGCAACAATCATTATACACCTTACAGCCGTGTCTTCAGGGTTCACCTTCTTGACAGGGACTTTGGGTTGGTTGGGGTCCAGCTGATGGGCCACTCGAAAAGAAGAGCCTCTTCTAGAAATCCGCCATGCGTCTCTTCATGTTCATGTTCCCTTCACGAGGAAGATTTGGAGGATTCCTATATGGTCCAGAGCCATGTCATGTGATAGTCGGGGAACTCTTACAAGTCCACCCTGGCAAATCGAGCAGATGAAAGCACTCACGATCCCCTTACCGTCCAAGCCGAACAGCGGACCAGCGGACCAGCGGACCGGCGGACCGGACCAGCGGACCGGCGAACCGGCGGACCAGCGACCAGCGGACCAGCGGACCAGCGGACCCGCGGACCGGCGAACCGGCGGACCGGCGGACCGGCGGACCAGCGGACCGGCGGACCGGCGGACCAGCGGACCAGCGACCGGCGAACCGGCGAACCGGCGGACCAGCGGACCAGCGGACCGGCGGACCAGCGGACCGGCGGACTGGGGCGGACACGCGGACCGGCGGACCAGCGGACCGGCGGACCAGCAGGCTGGCGAACCAGCTTCGGCGGACCAGCGGAGCAGCGACCAGCGGACGAGCGGACCAGCAGTGCAGGCAACGACCAGCGGATAGCGGCTAAGCGGACCAGCGGGCGTCAGCACTTGACATAGAGTCCCACCCTTCCCACCCTTGCCTGCGCCACTAACAGGCCAGCGGACCAGCGGAGATAATAATGGTGGTGGTGATGGGTGTTTTGGTTGTTGTTCTTGTTGTTTTTGCTGCTACTACTGTTTCAGCCCGGGACACTCAATGCGTCCTTGGTCAGGCTTCGCCTTGCTGCTTCGCCGCTTGGCATTTGGAGGCGCGGTGGGAGTTTCGTCTGGCTGTACTAATGAAGTCAATCGCTTTGCCAACAGCTTGCTGCCTGTGTCGCCCATGGCATGAGCCTTTTCACTTGGCCGCATCGTCTTCTTTCATCCTCAAGCTGCTGGCCTTGTCTCTTGATTTCTTTCATCGGCGCATGATTGCAACCGCGGTCGAAAACATGACTTGCAAACATCTACCGTGCTTCTGCTTTTGAACCAGCATGCAAGTATGCAAGTTGCCGATTGCAAGCGCGAGACCCGCAAGCCACCCTGCTATCAGCAAACATCAATCTAGCTTTTTCTTTTTTTCATGCAGCTGCAATGACGAATCCACAGCATCAGTGCCATGGGGTCCTTGCGCAAGCCATTTGTGACGCGGACCCGGCTGCGCAAATTTCGCCAGAACTAGTCCATCATTTGGCGACCAGATTAGAACCGCTCTTCAACCAAAGGGTTGCTGTTTTCGGCCGGGAAAGCAAAGCTCA